ATCAATAAACACCAGTAACCCAGTGCCACTGGAAGCCATACATGCCCATGCCATCACACTGCCTCCACCATGTTTCACAGATCTTGTATGCTTTGGATCATGAGCTGTTCCAAGCCTTCTCTATACTTTTTTCTTCCCGTCATTCTGGTACAGGTTCATCTTAATTTCAGCCGTCCAAAAAATGCTTTTCCAGAAGTGGTCTGGCTTTTTTAGATGGGTTTTGGCAAAGTCTAAGCTGGCCTTTCTATTCTTGAGGCTTATGAATGGTTTGCACCTTGTGGTGAACCCTATGTATTTGCTCTTGTGAAGTCTTCTCTTGATAGGGGTTATGCGCAACAGACTTCCATTTTCTGTTAACCGGGTCTCGTCGCTTCCGGTTTAAGCGTTTTGCATATGCTTCGTTACATATGAAGCAGTTTTACTCAAGATGCCTTCAAAGTAGATACCAAAGATGATCATAACTAATGTCCATCACATATGCGGACTGATATCTAAAAGTTTATTTATTTTTATTCTTTCACTAACATTTAGATATAAAAATTGAATAAAACGTCAGCAATAAAAATAGCTAGCTAGTTTAACTGATTATCTTAAACGTCCATAGATATCGCTATTATTTAATACGGCTGTTAACACATTCTCCGACAAGTGGAAGCGATGAGACCTGTTTTCCGGATTTGGTTAGGTGACGTTCGACATATACCCTATTGTAGACTTTGAAAGTAGCACGCCTACCTCCTGAAGAGTGTTCTTCGGTTGGCTGTATGTTGTGAAAGGGTTTTTCTTTACCATGGAGAGGATCCTCCGATCATTCACCACTGTTGTCCTCCGTGGACGTCCAGGCCTTTTTATGTCTCTTGAACTCACCAGTTAGGGTTGGGTACCGTTCACATTTTAACCGGTACGGTACTGGTATCGGTACCTGAATTTCGGTGCCGGTACCCAACGGTACCTTTTTTAGGTACTTTACTCTCTGTGTAATTACAAAAACATTTCAGTGAAAAAAAATAAGTCCAAAAGTCTCAATTTCAACATTTGGGCCCTACAAACTTTTTCATGCTTTCTTTCTTTCTTTTTTTCTCCCCAGAAATTCTTATTTTAATTTTTCTGAAAATCAATTGAAGGCATTAAACATTTATTTTAAATCAAATGAAAATTAAACCCGTAAATTTTGACAGGTTGCCGCGACGTTTCTGTGTGTATACAGTATGATGATGCTAGTTTTCTCAAATGAAACGGTAAAATTCTCCCGAAGTGACTCTCACAGCAGCTAAGTTTTTGTGTTCATGCCGTCATGTAGTGAGACGCAGAGGCTGGAAATCACCGCGAGCGTCATGCTTGCTTCGGTATTTGTGTAGTAAACAAAACCGCGTTTCCGCCATTCAATACAGAGGCAAAAGCGGAACATGCAGGTTTAAACCGTCCTTTTGCATTTTAATATTCACAGACACTAGTTCATATCGCGATTTGAATTAAGTGGCAGTGGCTACTTTTGATTTATTCGTCCAAAATTGTCATATTCCGTGGCATTCCGCGCTATACAGTAAATTGCGTTTTTATAAATGGACTCCACTATCCCGTCCGCGTTTTCGCAGAAACCATATGGCCCTAGAAATGTAACCACACTTCAGAACATTTCGGCTTGCCCTGTGTGTTGTTGCGATCTCCGATATATATATGCGTGTGTGTGTGTGTGTCAGTAAGCAGCGCATTAATATAGAACGGTAATTATCCTAAAGGCTCTAATGCACACCAGCATAGGTGTGTGTATTGTAGGAGCTAGACGACGTATGATGACGTGTGACGTATAGTAGTGGTGTCCCAATTCTTAGGGGAATATTTTCACCCCTACCCCTTGACACTCTGTTTCAAGGGACAAGGGGAAGGGCTAGGCAGAGGGGTAGGGGAAGGGGAAGGGGTATAAAATAGAATTGGGATTGGGCCTTAGAATCAATTCCAGACCTTTTAATGCTTAATTGATGTAGAAATAATGAAGGAATACCCCACACCTGTCCATGAAACAGCTTTTGAGTCAACTGTCAAATTTACTTATGGTCCCTTGAAAAAGGGAGGAGGTACATATTAAAAAGCTGTAATTCCTTGAAAATACCCTCAAATTAAAGCTCAGAGTGTGCACTTTAAGTCCATATTATATAACTGTAACTTAAGTATAACTTTACTTACCGTAAAAATATATATGGACCTAACTGTATATTATTGGTAACATTTAGCATACCTGTATAACATCATTCAGGTGAAGGATGAAGTTAATCTTTATCCTGTACAAACCTCTCCGTTCAGTTTGTGGTTTCTCTCCATCAACTTTATCTCCAGGGTCGCCAACTCTTTCTTCAGCTGACAGATTTCTGTGATGAAACCATCAATATTCAGCATGGACAGACTGATTTACAGCACATCACATCCACCTGAGCGCTCATGATCAACACCTAAACACAAACACATCGTGAGTACAACATCTACATTGATCAAAAACTTACAAAATGACTATAAACGCTTTAGTTGCATTTTACTGATAGCAGAAATAAGATATTTTAAAAGGCTTTACAAAATCGCCGTTATTTAACACAGCATTCAGTCAGATTTAAGAAATTATGGTTTCCTTTACGTAGGGAGAAGGTTTTCATAGAGAGAAAAACAAAGATGTAAAAACAGAGTAAACACACCGGTGTCTTTGTCTTTCTTTAGTGATTTTAAAAAATATTAAAAGAACAAACGGTATGAGTATAATAATGATTCTAACATAACACTAAGCCAAACACCAAAAAACAACTACATATGTGTATGTACAACCATACACACATATACATATACATATATATAAATACATTCAATATATATATATATTATTTCATTTCCATTTTGTATGTTGAAGTACTGAAATAACTCAAATTAAATAAAAGTAAAACTTAATAAAAGACCTATATAGACATAATAAAAAACGAATAAAATGACATTACTACAACTGTAACTAAAACTAAAATAGATAACTAATACAAATCAAACTACATTAGTTTATCAGTAATCCTAAAAAAATAACACTGAGCCAAACACACATGCTAAAATAACAACAACTTACTGACACATAGTAAGAAATGGTTATAAAAAACTGAAACAGAAGTGAAACAAGTAATAGGAAGAGAGATACGCAGACTTTCCGCTGTAACTTTACTTGCTGGTGTCACTGTTGGACCTTGTTTCTTTAGAAAAACGAGTGATGTATACACTTTTTAAAATTATATTTTGCAGTATTGGTGCTGTTTTATTTTTGTACCAAAAAAAAATTTCTCACCCAATATTTTGAGGAGACACTGCCTGCTCAGAGGAAACGCCCGGTTTAGTACTTATGTAACACACCACGGTTATTTTTCATGAAGTACCCTCACCTTTGTACCTTATCTAACCTTAAAGCGTGCATACTTGTATGGTACTAATATGCTCCCTTTTAGGCATAGAGTCGAGAAGTTGCACCTTTGAGGTTACTGCCCCAGTGAAGAGCTAAAATACAATTATAGTACATTTTATTTCTGACAGTATAAACAAAAAAGGCCTATGAAATGTTACGAAAAACATATGGCATCCTTTAGTGGTCCACCAAATGAGCTGAAAACATCTGAGTGACGTCATTCCCAACACAAACACGACCCATAGTTTAGTTCCGCCCCTGACACTGACTGACAGGTTTCCGTGTAAGGCATCGGAAATTCAATGCTAAAGGAATTGCGATTCCATTTGAGTTTTGGCAGCTACATGCACGACGCAGAGAGAGTGAAAAAGCAGACGTGGTTATTAATATTGCTCTTTAAATATGACAGGGCCATAACTCGTAAGACATGGGAAATGCATTTGCAAATGGACTTTGTTTTTCCATTTGAAATTTGGCAGTCACTGAGCGTTCGCGAAAGCGAAAACGTAAACGGTAATGCAAGATTTGCAATTGTGATTGGATTGTCAAAATGTATGCGTCCACATATGGAAAATGGAATTGAAAAAACAATTTGCAATTCCTTTTGAAAATAGTCTGCAATATCATTCCATATATTTTATATAAAGAAGAAATAAGCAAATTACAAACAATAAGACAAATACAATAGAGAATGATAAGAAATTAAATAAACTCGTTTTTCAGATACAATAGTTTTATTTAACACGTATACATTTATTTAGCATCTTTTGTTGTTTTATTAACATTAAAGGGGTCATATGATGCGATTTCAAGTTTTCCTCACAGCATGGTAGGGGCGTAACATTTCCGTCACACGCTTGAGGTATTCGGCCAATCACAACGCACTGGATAGCTGGCCAATCAGAGCACACCTCGCTTTTCAGAACGATGAGCTTTGTAAAAATCGACGCGTTTCAGAAAGGCGGGGTATAGAGGAGAAACAATAATGTACAGTATGTGGAAAATAATGTGTTTTTTTAACCTTAAACCGCATAAACACATTTCATTACACCAAATACACAAAATAATGTTATTTTTAGCAACATCATATGACCCCTTTAACGAGACAAACTTTAACAAGACTGCTGTCCCTTTAAGACCAAATGCATGGATGTAATACTGACACATATCCCGTTTTCACCCACCTGTTTACGTTCATGGTAAGCCATAACCGTCGGCATTTACGTTAGATACTGCACACATAGGAAATTTTGAGCTTCGATTGTATCATTCAGCACAATTCCGCCTTTTTCACTAACTGCAAGTTAATCGATAACTAATTGTGATTGGATGGTAATTTTGTTCTAAGACGAGCTTGGCTACCTTCAACACTACCTAGATGGAATATGGGACAAAACATGACTTTTTCTAAAGAAAAATAGAGCTGAAATACGGGACTGCCCCGGGAAAGACGGGACAGCTGGTCACCTTAGAACTGCTCCATATTCATGATTATGGGTGGAGCTACAGTATGACATCACTGCAGGTGAGTTAATGAATTCAGTGAAGGTGAAACAAAAAACAGACGAGCTGGAAGCTTCGTCAAACAAGAACCTCTTTATTCAGACACTGACTTTAATCATCACATCTAATATTCACTCACAGGTAAGTGATGGATATGTAAAAGCTTTTTCAGTAGTTTTTATTTCTGAAATAGTATCTGAATATTATTAAGTATGTCATTCATTTAAAGTCAAGTTTTATATCTGCTGTCATGTCACACAACAGAAACGTAAAGTACTTGAACTGCAGACATATGTCCAAAAACAAGTAAATAAGCATAATTACAAATAGTAGTCTGCTATAATTACATAATTAAATTAATTTAATTAAAGAATGGCCATGATACTGCTACAATTAGCCACAAAAAAGAAAGACAAATTTGCTACTAATGTCACCCTTTCTAGCTGTGTTGTGTGTTGTATACAGAAAGAACATTATTTTATGATCTGTTTAAGACAGATGTCTCCAGAACTATTTTCAGTACTTTGTTTTTGTCTTCGACAGGACAGAAATGACTATTAAGTTCTTTGATTTTGGTATAAACAATGGTTACTAGTTTAACTTATAATTACTTTTATTAGAAGGCTTACTGTATTATTTGCACTCCAAACATAAAATGACCTTATTTTGTTACCTTTAGGTTTTTGTATGAGATAAAACACGGCCATGGACATGATCGTGAAATGACTTTAATTTCAGCTTTTTGAAGAGGAAATAGATAAGTTAACCAACAAGTTGAACTAGTTTAACAGACTGATAAGAATTTACGTTCTGAATTACAGTCATACCTGTGTAGCCTACAGTTGTTAGTTGTTAAAGGACTTGGAATGCACCACAAATAGTGCACACAGTCCAAAGCAATTTACCCCAGTTTAACTATCCTGCCAGTGCATGAGATGTGGGTGTCAAAAGTAGCAGACAGATTCAATGAAATCTGTAATTTACATGTCACTTGGAATATACATATTTTGTCAGAATATACAGCTAGGGCCAAATATTTAAGTGTACCTCAGTATTATCAAAGTTGTTAATCTAAGTAGAGTGGATTGTATATTGTTTGTTTTGTCAGTCATGGCATCCTCCAGTGGTCCACTAAATGAGGAGCTCCAGTGCTCCATCTGTATGCATGTGCTCACTGATCCAGTCACCACTCCATGTGGACACAACTTCTGCAAAACCTGCCTGAACAAGTGCTGGACAATCACACAGACCTGCTTCTGTCCACTCTGTAAAGAAACATTCAGCAGAAGACCTGCTATCAAGATTAATACAACACTCAGAGAGGTTGTGCAACACTTTAAGGAGAAGCTCAATCAAGAAGAATCTGAGGTGTTTTGTGACTTCTGTGATGAAAGAAAGCAGAAAGCCGTGAAGTCCTGCCTGACGTGTCAAAGCTCTTACTGTGAGACTCACCTGGAGCCTCATCACAGAGTCCCACGTCTAAAGAAACACACACTGATCAACGCTGTGGAAAATCTGGAGGATTATGTATGCCGGAAACATGAGAGACCTCTGGAGCTGTTCTGCAGAGATGATCAGACGTGTGTGTGTCTGTCCTGCACTGAAGGAGACCACAGGACTCACAACACTGTTCCTATAGAGGAGGAGAGTCGAAAGAAGAAGGCAAGAGATACAAACAAAACACTTTAAACTCCCCATTAAATGCAGTTCTTTTCTCTGTGTTGAAATTGCAAGACTTTTTCAAGGGATTGTCCCTTTCATTTCATTCAGTTTGACTGGACAAACACTTATGTAGTGCAAGAGGAGCCATTAATAATTTTGGTTTCTTTTCCATAAGATTATATACAGATATAAAATTTACATTGTCTAAAGTAAAAGCACATCAAAATCCTTATTCAAAAACAGACTTCGATGGAAGCTCTCTCTTTTTCTCTGTCTGTAGAATCAGCTGCTTCAGACACAGACAGACGTGCAGCAGATGATTCAGGACAGAATGAAGAAGATTCAAGAGATCCAGCACTCAGTAGAGCTGAGAAAAGTGAGTGGAAAAAAATGATTCCAATTAATAATGGTATGCCTCATAATATTTCAGTCTGCATAATAAATGTGCTGAAATAAATAGATTAAGAAAACAATGTTTCAAGTAACAATGAGGTCAGTAGATGAGAGAATTTTTCTTTTTTGAGTGAATCTCTTTAAATATATATTTAATAACATAATAGATGTGTTGTCGTATAGAATATTTAGTTAATTGATCTCATTGATCAGAGGAACACAGAGGAAGAGAAATCGGCCAGTGTTGAGCTCTTCACTGATCTGATCCGCTCCTTTGAGAGATGTCAGTCTGAGCTGCTGAAGATGATGGAGGAACAGCAGAAAGCAGCAGAGAAACAGGCTGAAGATCTCATTAAAGAGCTGCAGCAGGAAATCACTGAGCTGAAGAGGAGAAACACTGAGCTGGAGCAGCTCTCACACACTGACGATCATCTGCACCTCCTGCAGGTCTGTCAACTTCTGTATCATCACTGAGAATGTACAATATTACAGGACAAGCACTGTTTCCAGTTCTAGTGAGCTACTTGACCATTTTTTTAGTCTTTCGAAATCATACAGAACAGAATGAGACTAATAAATCCGTATTAGGAAAATGTTAACTGTGTTAGACAAGTACAGTGTAAAATATATTTAACTAAACTGAACTAAAATGTTCATATGTAATAATCCTGTCTCCTGCTGTAGATGTACTCAACCCTGTGCAGTCGTCCACACACTAAGAACTGGACTGAGATCAGTATCGACTCTGATGTGAACGTGTACTCAATGCATAGAGCTCTGACTCAACTGAAGAAAACTCATGAGACACTAAATGAAAAACTCTGTCAAACTGGTATGTGAACATTAAATATAGTGAATATATTTTTTTTTTGTCAGTAACTTTAAGAAAGTATTTTTTCAAGGAATATTTGGGGTTAAATCCAGTTCTGTGAATCTGTGATATGCTGGTGATAGTCTGTCTGACCACAGCATAGACTATAAAAAAAAAAAGTCTCCACTTCCACTATAGAAAAGTGAAGCCAAAACAGTATGGCCACTCATCTTGCGAAAATGACGTCATTTGGACCCAGAGTCTGCAGTAGTGATCGTGAGGTGGAGCCGCGGTATCAAAGTCCCACTCAAACTCCTGCAGACCCAATCACAAGTTCACAATCATGACACCACACCCTATTTTTATAGCATCAAATAACGAGCTAAAAGCAAACTTATTAGAAAAAAATGAACACTTTTCAGGTTGTCTGTGGTACACTTAGACCACAAACTATGGGTGCTTCTCAAATGGAAGGCTGCATCCTACGAAGGCTGCGTATCTCGGCTGCCACCTCAATCACCCACAATCCTTTGTACATTCCAATTCACGATGAAAATTCCAATTTTCATCCAAAATATCTTAAATTGTGTTCCGAAGACGAACGAAGCTTTTACGGGTTTGGAACGACATGGGGGTAAGTGATTAATGACAACATTTTCATTTTGGGGTGGAGTATCCCTTTAAACTGTCAATAATGTCAGCCACTGGAGACTGTAGATGGCTGTGATTCATTGTATTGCATTAATAGAAAGCCAAATAATATAAAGATTTGTAATACAAAGTATTTTTCCAAAATTATGCTTTATTAGTATTTTCGTGCCGTGACGATGAGGGCGGGAACATATGTGGCATAGCCACGCGCACTTACTAGACCATCTCATTCTAGCGTTTAATGCCGAGGAGGACTCTAGCCTAGAAGACTCCGAAGGACTGAACTAGGAAGGACGCAGCCTTGGTAGAATGCAGCCTTCTGTTTGAGAAGCACCCTATATTTAATACCGTGTCCTAACGAGCCGCGATGGTCACAGACTCCGATTTTTTATTTTAGCTTCATCCAGTCATCGGAGATCAAACATGTTTGATATTTTGCTCCCATTTTAGAACACATATTGTTTTCATTTGTCATGAGTCTCCTAGCAACAAGCTGCGTGTTTCTGCGTGAGACTCTTGTGTTTGGAATTACTTAAGAGTCTGGTAGTGTGTGATCTTCAGTCTTTTAGGCTGATGATACACAGGGCAACTTTTTGAGCAATGTTTCCATCAATGGGCAACCAGGTGAGACACGGGGCCCATGACCAATCTAAAGTATCCACATAGAAATTTGTTACCCATTATCAATGGGAAACTGCCCAGCAAAATTGCTCAAAAAGTTGCCCCATGTTTCATCAGCCTTAGTGTATTATGGCCAGTATTTCTTCTGTAACTATTTATAAAGTCAGCAAGATGTCTAGTGTTTTTAAATGCTATTCAGGTTTTAAAAGTCATGTAGTGTATCCCAGCCTTTAGTCTCAGGATCACACTGTCAAAAATACAAAGAAACAAGAAAAACAACAACAAGAACTAAAACATGTTGCATTAGACTGGTATGATAAAATCACTCAAGAAACCCTGTCTATATAAAGTTATATCCAAATTTTCACTCATCTCATAGTATTGCTTTTAATTACTTTAGCAACATGTAAGGGACATGATGTAACTATCCATGTACAAACTATAAAAATGTGTCCACAGGGTTGGACTGGGCACAGAAGTTTGCAGGTACTGTGTGCTTGACACCATTTTCTTCAATACACTTACAATACAATGTTATATTGTTATAATCTGTATTATACATAAAAAACATTTGTTGTGAAGTTGATTGATAATGTCTAATCTCTCATCTAGTGGATGTGACTCTGGATCCTGACACGGCTTATCCATATCTCATCCTGTCTGATGATGGAAAACAAGTCAGTGATGGAGTCATTGAGCAGGACGTCCCAGAAAACCCAAAGAGATTTGATGACTGTTGTGTTCTGGCAAAGGAGGGATTCAGAACAGGCAGATTTTACTATGAGGTGCAGGTGGAGGGAAAGAGTGACTGGAATTTAGGAGTGGTCAGAGAATCCATTAACAGGAAGGGAGAGATCAGCCCCAGTCCTGAGAACGGATTTTGGCTTCTGGGTGAGGTTACGGAGAATCTATATTTAGTTTCTGATAATCCATTTGTCACTTTCTTTCTAGAGACACCTGAGAAGGTGGGAGTGTTTGTGGATTATGAGGAGGGTCTGGTCTCTTTTTATGACGTGGAGTCCAGCTGTCATATCTACTCTTTCACTGGTCAGACTTTCACTGACAAACTCTATCCATACTTTGGCCCAGGTGATAATGATGCAGGTAAAAACTCAAACCCACTGATCATCTCACCTGTCAGTTCAAATTAACAATTACATTCACCAATGATATGAAACATGAAATGTAAAAGATTATCTATATGACGATTTATGTTGCTTGAAAAAAAAATCATTTTGTCACAGCTATATTTGAGAATGGAATAAACAACTAAATACAACTTTCATTTTCTAAAATGGAAGCTAATTTCTTTTAAATACTGACTTTTTTTAACGACATGCAGACTCCAATTTGTTATGAGTCTACATATTTCTAATAAAAAAAAAAATTTTCCCATTATGCCCAACTTAATATTTTATCCTCAGCTTTATTTGCAGCTTTTCGAATCTGTCCTGATAAAATTTTATATACTATGATATGATTCCATATAAAATAGTGAAAATCTACATAATATGCTAAATTTTCTACAATTTATACAGTACAGGGTTGGAAATTAACGGGGACTTGTCAAAAATGCCCCTGCACAATTAAAATAGATTTATTACGTCTGTCACAATTAAAGTGAAATGTGAAAATGAATGAAAAGTGTTGATTGCGGCTTTACATTTACGGTAAATCTGCTCACGTTGCATAAGATTTCTTTTTACACACGGTTTGCAGCTTTGAGCATTCTATCACACACACGTTTCTGTTGAGCTTATGAACACAATGTCTAATCAGAGGCGTTTGATTAGTCACCACAGAAAACGGCAGAGTTGTTTGTGCACACGCTGACTGACTGAACTCTGAATCTCCATTAGCGAATTCTTTCATCATCATAAACTACAAAGTGCAGAAAAGATGCAAGTAAGAGAGTCATTTTGCAGTGACAGCTTCAGTGATTATAACGGGTGTTTTTGCGAAAGTACATAACACACGTTAGACTGAAGTCATGTGCCGCTTCATTTTTCTTTGCTCGCTTTATATAATTTATTCACAGTCTGAATAACCGTTTTGTTTTTCATGCTACTGAAATATGTGTGAAGTCTTGATTATCTGATCCATAAAAAAGCAATGAACTAATTCATAAATGGTTCTTCGCTTCTTTTGTCTGTAGCCAGTGCATGACATGCTTTTTCCCTACAAAACCTTTTCTATTCAACATTAATAATTATCATTACACTATCAAGAGCAATAATAAACAATAATGATTTTGTCATGATATTGCAGCTCAACCCTCTAAAGTTTTTTGATGCTCTAATGCTGTTTTTTAATTTATAGTCTATTTACATGACAATTTTTGTGTAAATACGTGCACTTCAGCAGCATTAAACAGTCTGTGTAAATACATGCCATGTCAGATTCTGTTCCAGCTTTGCAGTTCAAAGATGGCTTTTGTTGACAGTACATGTGTGTTCTACGTGTTAACACTGAATTACTTGTAAAATATTGCGGTTCTTGGTTTATATTAGAATAACTACCGCATTTGAATAAAGACAAAGTAAATTGTACAACAAATATTGCTTGAAAACTAAATTGCTTACCAATAAATATGCAAATACACAATGGAGAATTATTTAAGTTCATGAACATCTACTCACATAAAAACTATTATAGATAATAGTAGTAAGTAGTAAGTAATAATAGTAGATAATTATAGATAATTTTTTTTTGCTGAATTATTATTTAGTGTTCATGAGCCTTCAGTCTAGCTAACATTATTTTAAGAGAACAGAGAGCATTAGAAGGCTTTACAATGGAAGTTCTCTTTTATACTCTGGTTTGAGCACAATATGAGTGAATCGGTGCACCTGAGTGAGCTGACGGCAGTCCATCGATGCCAGGAGCTTCTGAGAGCCGGAGACGGTAGAAACAAACTTCTCCATCAGTGTAACCATCACAAGCTTCTCCACATCACTGACAGACAGAACGAGAACATAAACTTACGGGAAGCTTTTCACCCTAAATACAGGTTATCATATTTAATGTAGTACAGTTCACAAATCTAAAGTGCATAAACATGAAATTAAAAAGCTCTTAAACACTCAAAGTCTTACATATTCATAATCTTTCTGACGCTCTCCATTCCCAATCCCTCTGGAACGTGATCTTGACTGTCGGCTCATCATCAAGTGATTTTTGATAAATGTAGCTACTAATTCAGACATTTTTGGCCACAATAACAAGTCTGTGATGGGACTGTTTAAAGGATTAGTTCACTTCCAGAATGAAAATTTCCTGATCATTTATTTACTCAATATCCAAGATGTTCATATCTTTCTGTCTTCAGTCGCAAAGAAAAGGAAAGGTTTTTGAGGAAAACATTCTAGGATTTTTCTCCATATAATGGACTTCAATGGGGACCAACGGGCTGAAGGTCCAAATTGCAGTTTCAGTGCAGCTTCAACAATCTCTGCATGATCCCAGCCAAGGAATAAGGGTCTTATCTAGCGATTAATTGGGACGCAGCTTCAGTGTCTTTGTCTTCCTTTAGTGGTTTAATGGCACGTTTCACTGCATGGTACGGCTCGGCTCGGCTCAGTTTGCGTTTGCACTGTAGTTTAGTACTGCTTTAGAGTGGCCATACTGAGCGACCTCCTAAAAAAATTGTTCATTCTGCGTCGTCCCATCAAGCTCCCGCTGGATCCGCTCCTCGGCAATCAACGAGAGGAACGTCTGTACACTTTTCTAACCGGCATGCATCTCGCGGTGATCACCGGTGATCGGTTCTGTGCAGATTTTGCTCATCTCAAACAAGCCTAGTGATCAGCAGGGTTTACACGTCACATTTTGGTAACGGTACGGCTCGCTTGGAACCTCAGCCGAGTTTGTACTGAAAAAAGTACCAGGTACTTTACACATAGTGGAAAACCCCCTAAAGGCGAGCCGTGCCGTGCCGTACCATGCAGAAAAGCATCATAAAATCAGCGGGCTGAAGATCTGCAGCGCCTCCTACTGTGTTAGACTGAGAACATCAACACTACATTGATTGAGGATAAATACGAATTAATCTCAATTTGTTTATAAATCCTCGACTGACATGTTTTCTGCTATGTGAAGAGCTCCACAAACTTGTTTTATCCTCATGTGAGCTCTTTCTTTCTTTTTTGTGATTTCATCGACGGGCCGCCATCTGTGTTGCTCTGAGAATCGACACTACTGTCGACGAAAGTTTAATAAATTCGATAAGACTATGAACCTTTAACCTGCTTTAAAGTCCCAAAGTGTAGGTTCCCTTTCAGTCGGTCACTCCCGACGTCACGTCGGTTGACCAATGACTGTGGATATGATCATAAATGGACTTGCATTTCAACTTTTTTGAAGGGGAAATACACAGGTTTCTATATGTTAAACCAGTTTACAGGACTGAATGTTAAGAATTTACATTCTGAATTACTGTCATACTTGTGGTTGTTTTGCCTTTAAGAAGCCGATGTATGTTAGTTGGTAAAGGACTGAGTTGAGCCCCAAGCACTTTCTTTAACTATCCTGCTAGTGTTTAAACTGTGGATGTCAAAAGCAGCAGACGGATGCAATGAAATTGTGATGAACAGATGAAGTGCCATCAGTGGAGAAATACATAAAATATTTAAGTGTACCTTAATATTATAAAAACACCTGAAATGAAGATAGGCACCGTTTTTGTTTTTTTTTAACCAGCTGTATTTACTCAGTGCAACTTATAACATCCAAGTGAAAGATATAACACCAACATGTCAGAAAACATAAAACAAAAAACTGTATCACTGAGTTGGAAAAAGGATCAGCCCCTTGCATATTTTGTTGAACCACCTTTTGCTTTATACAGCCTTTAGTCTGTTGGGATTTGTCTCTACTACCTTTGCACATCTAGACTTTGCAATATTTGCCCTCTCTTCTTTGCAGAGCTGCTCAAGTTCAGTTATGTGAGTTCAGTTATGTGTTCAGTTGATGGTGAGCGTTTGTGGACTGCAGTCTTCAAGTCATTCCACAGATTTTCAATGGGGTTTAAGTCTGGGCTCTGACTAGGCCATGCAAGGACATTCACCTACGTATGTGGGTGGGACAAGACCCACTCACTTTTTAAGACCAATGATATTGGACCCAATGTTTAATGCAAATTGAGCCACTTTTACCTTCTTTAATTCAGCGCATATGCATGTTCACTTTTCAGAGCGCCATCAGGCAAATCCATTCCACATGAGGAATGCCCTAATAAATTCAACTCCATTCCGCATTTTAGCTACAGCCTTGACTTCCACGCTGCTGCTTCGTCAAATCCATTCCACTTGGCTCATTCAGAGTCCATATAAATTAAACTTCATTCCGTGTTTTCACTACTCGCGCCTGCTGCACTCCCGGTCTGGCTGTGTGCTCACATACTGTGACTAAACAGTGACTAACTGTGACTTAACTATCCTGCTAGTGTTTAAACTGTGGATGTCAAAAGCAGCAGACAGATGCAATGAAATTGTGATGAACAGATGAAGTGCCATCAGTGGAGAAATACATAAAATATTTAAGCGTACCTTAATATTATAAAAACACCTGAAATGAAGATGGGCACAGTTTTTGTTTTCGATAAGACTAATGAATCTTTAACCTGCTTAAAAGTCCCAAAGAGTAGGTTTTGCGTAATTATTTACATTCTCACATAAAATTAAACAAAAGCAATACTCACATATCAGCTCGATAAACCAACAGTTTCTCCTTAGACTGACCATCAAAATAACCATTAAAATTTAAAAGGCTGAGATTAGCGCTTCAGCACCATGAGTGTCTCTCGTACAGTGGTTGTCCAGGCAACTGAAAACATTTTAAATCCCAGGGGGTTGATTTGCATGAAAACTAATTTGTGTATGTGTGTGTGTGTTAATGTGATGACGATCGTTAAATGGATTTTAAAAACACGTTAAAGGGTTAGTTCACCTAAAAATGAAAATTCTGTCATTAATTACTCACCCTCGTGTTGTTCCAAACCCGTAAGACCTTCGTTCATCTTCGGAACACAATTTAAGGTATTTTTGATTAAATATGAGGGCTCTCTGACCCTCCCATAGACAGCAAGGTAACTACCACGTTCAAGGTCCAGAAAAGTACCAAGATAATCGACAAAGTAGGCTGTGTGACATCAGTGGTTCA